AGTCACTCGAGAATGAGTCCCCCTAGCTCCTTAGTTAGGTACAAGTTGTTATTTCCTTTGGTGGATTTACTATTGATTAAACTGTGGAAGATCCGACAATAGCTTGGAATCTCTTAAGCTGGCCAAGCCCTCTCAGATAGACTAACCGGCAGGCAACTAGCCTTCACCGGGATAGATTTCTAAGGCAATTCACACAGAACTCCACTACTAGAAACAGATTCCATTACAAAGCAGTGAATTGATTGACTATCGTACAATCAATTCACTCCTAACAATTAAAGAAGCTCTTACAACCTAATCATATTCTATTTATCTCAGGTTGCAGCAAAAATCAAACAAAGTTGATCAGGATACAATTGACTCAACAAACACTCTTCAATCGATTATAATCAAACAGTATATCAATCTAAATGCCATTATAATCATGATCCCTAACACATGGAACTAGGGTTCTTCATACCCAAGTGAGAGAAATGTCTAGTCCATAGAGAGAGAGAGAGAGGAAAATAGAAATCAAAGCAGTCATACTCAAAAAAGATGGGAATAATCTACTCTGGGATGATAATCTTCACTCCAAGGATGAAGTCCAAGCTTGATTGATGAAATGCAGTTCCAGAATCAATCCTAGGGTTTGTTCTTTGCACTTTCTCTCTCTAGATCTCTGTTTTTTGCTCAAAAAGTCGATTCGCCTCCTTTTGGGTCGGAAGTACCAGTTTAACCCGAGAACGGCCAAAACACAGTCGTGGACACGGCCCTGTCCTTTTCATCCTGCCCGTGTTTTGCAAAGTCACGTGGGAAAACTTAAACCGTCATGGGAGAAACACGCCCATTCCAAGGAAAACACAGTCGCGCCCAAGGGGGGACACAACAGTGTTTCAGCCGTGTAGCGCCCGTGTTTTGCATCTTCAACAGCAGTCACCAACAAGCTCTCGGCATTAAAAACACTGGCTGTATACACGATCGTGCTTTGGGAAATGGCGCCCTTGTTTTGCCCCTTTCATCGATTCAGCTCGTGCACGAAAAAGCATTGGCGTGCCCCCTAGTGACCACAGTCATGTTTTTACGGTAGTCTGCCCGTGTTTTGCTTTAGCTTCACCGAATGACCTCCAAACGACCCGAAACTCGTGCCTAGCCCTTCCTTTGACGTATGGGACCTGAAATAAGACAAAAGGGCACAACCCGGCGTAAAATAGGCAAAATATATACGACTACGAGCCGCAAATGGATAAGAAACAAGGGTGCAAATATGTGCAAATACATCGTTATCAGTGAGAGAGTGACTTGTGAGGTTCTTTGTTTGTACCACTCTCTTGAGACTTTAAGCATTGACGGATAACTTCTTGTTCTGAGTGTCTGAACTAAATGGCAAGAGAAGTTCGCAACAATCAAAAAGTTCAGAACTTGGAGGACAATCGACAAGCCACCCTGGATGCTCTTGTGGGACGCCTTACCCGGCTGATGCGAGACCAATAGGAGCAGTTTAATGCTCGCCTCGATGAGATGACTCAGCACCTCAATCGACGAGATCGGTCCAATGAGGAAGCACTTCCACCACCGCGTAGGAGACATGGACGACCCCTAGATCCTAATAACCTTCGACCCTTGCGAGGATGAGGAGTGAGGGGTCGAGGAGGACGACCACTAGTTCAAGAACGTAAAGCTCATGAACCTCATGACTATAAGGAGTACTATGAGGAGGAAGAGTATCCCCATCATAGGGATGATGATATTAGAGGGGGGCTGAAGATGAAGCGACCATCTTGTCAAGGGAGAAATGATCCGGAAGCTTACCTCGACTAGGAGAGAAAGATCGAGTACTTGTTCAAGTGCCACGACTACTCCAAACGGAAGAAGGTAATCATTGATGCTCTTGAGTTTTCTGACTATGTCGTTATTTGGTGGGACCAGCTGGGTGCCGAACGGAGGCTACGCGGAGAAGAGACCATCACGACGTGGCATCAAATAAAGGTAGCCATGAGGAGGAGATTCGTGCCCGTTCATCATCAACGGGATCTGCATCAAACTCTTCACTTATTGAGACAGGGTGCGAAGAGCGTGGAAGATTATTTCAAGGAGATGGAGACACTCATTATTCGAGCTTGTGTTAATGAAGATAGAGAAGCAACCATGACTCGATTTCTCAATGGTCTCAATCGGGAGATCATGCAGGTCGTGGAGATTGAGGATTTGGTGCAGATGGCTACTAAGGTCGAGAAGCAACAAAGGGGAGGCTATACAAGGAGAATTTTCACCATCCACAAGTGCGTCTCCGAGTGCAACTTAGGTTCCATTTGAGAAGAAGGAAGACCCTAAGAGAATGTCCAAATCGATTGCCACCAATGCGGGAGAGAAGGCATATACTAACACACATTCGAGTTCTATTGTGTGTTACAGGTGTCAAGGTCGAGGTCATGTGGCGAATCAATATCCGAACAAGCGTGCTATGATCTTACTGGATAATGGTGATTACAGGTCTGAGCCTAAAGATGGAGAGGTCGAGACTGAAGATGAGGAAGAAGACGCCGAGGAGAGGCCAGTGCAAGATAACTACAACTGGGTAGTTCGGCTACTTTTGAATGTGAAACAGAAAGAAGAGATTGAGAAGCGGGAGAACTTGTTCCACACTCGCTGCTTAGTCAATGAGAGGCTATGCTCGATGGTCATAGATGGAGGGAGCTGCACCAACATTGTTAGTGCACACATGGTGGAGATGCAAGGGTTGAAGACCATCAATCATTCGCGTCCCTACTCTTTGCTGTGGCAAAACGAGGATGGAGCCATTAATGTGACACGCCAGGTGCTTTTGAGCTTCGAGATTGGTAGGTACAAGGATGAGGTGCTCTGTGATGTGGTACCTATGAAGGCTACCAACATCCTATCGAGACGTCTATGGCAATTCGACAGAGATGCACAATATGATGGTTTCACCAACAAGTACAAGTTGTCACATGGCGGGAGAAGATCGTGTTACAACCACTATCTCCTGGAGAAGTCTCCAAAGATCAACTCCATATTATGCAAAGCATGGAGAAGTAACTAGAGTCAAACAAGAAGGAGAAGGGTGCATAAATGGCAACCAGAACTTTGATGATTACCCGAAGGGAAGACGTGAACGTAGGAGATGACGGTGATCATCTTTGAGGTAAGTCAATTCAGATTCCAGATTATGGTGAGATTACTGACCACATCGACTTTGTTGTGGGAGATGAAGTACCAGCCATGGAAGTTCGCATAAGAGAAAAGCGACAACTTCAAGAGTTCGTGGAGAAGCTATGCACTCAAGATGCATGTTCCAGTTCGAGGGTGAAGGATTCGAGCAAGGGAGTCTATATGCAGCTACAAGATTTGATGACAAATCTTTTGAAGAGGGAGGAAATGATGCAACTTGGATCACCTCACAAGACGTCCATCAAATTTGAAGAGCATACATTGAGTTTGGTTCGAAGATAACGGCCTTAGAGGCTCGAGAAGGCAAGATAAGATTCCACTTGACGAAGAGATGCTCGACGAAGGAGCTGGAGCTGCCCAAGGGACAAGAAGTGATGACGATTCAAGTTGGGACTGTCTCAGGCTAAATCCACGACCGAGGAAAGAACTTGGGACCGTGGATTCTGTCCAGGGGAATTCCATTAGGCGTGGACAACGTGACGCAATTGGGTACCCATCCCATTTGAAATGGATACCCAATCCCATTTGGAGAAGAAACTTCATCGCATTTCCCAAACCCGTACGGGTTAACGGCTACCCATTACCCGTGCGGGACGGATAACGGGTACCCATAAATTTGTGTGATCTTCGTCATTTGATATTTTATTGACGGCAAAACTGGTGTAGGAATTCAGTTTATTGAATTGAATTGTAATGAATCTACTGCTACTGATTTATACAAAATGAATAGAGAAAGTAGTGGGCTTTAAACCGGTCCATGAATGCAGTCGTAGGAATTTTTTCTATTAAATTGGATTGTATGAAGCTACTGCTTCTGATTTGTACAGAATGAAGGAAGGCAATGGAGTTGTAGTAATTGTTGTCCCAATTAAGTAGGTGCAAGTTATCCAGTAATATATGTTATCACGTATCACAGGGAAGGTAGTGTATGCTCATTCATTGTTGTTTCAAATTAATGGCTTAGCTTGGGTGGACGAGTAGTACGGGTACCCGTAATACCCAAACGGGTATTAACGGGTAACCCGCGGGTATCCATTATAGAAGTTCTTGATCCCAAGTCTCGTCCCGTAAAAATAATACAGGTATTTGGGTACTCGTAACCCTCAAAAAACGGGACGGGTATGGGTATACCCAAATACCCGTTTCCCGTTGTCCACCCCTAAATTCCATGGCCTGAAGAACAAAATCCACGGCTGTGGTTTTTGGGGGGTCAAAGTGTGGATTTTGCCTTGCTGCTGCTGGTTGTTTTTATTTCCTTTGCGGATTAAATGACTTATGGACCAAGACTCGGATTTCTTTGTTATTTTTGGCCCAAAACCTTTGTAGCCTATATAGGGGCTGAACTATGTCTTTTAGAGGGTAATCAACAAGTTTATTCAGAAACACAAACCCTAGAATTGGTTGTTCAAACTTAGGTTAGCCCATTTGTGTAATTAAGGCCCACAAACCCGGTCCAAAACGTGTAAACGCGGATTTAAATCAATTTGCATGAAATTCACGAATTTGATTTCATTGGAGCGCGATTTAGGGAAATTAAAACGCGAATCAGAGTTCTTCCCTTGTTTCTCCTTGAACTAACAATTCTGATCATTTCATCTACCATTTTTCCCGGTTAGTATCTTCAGTTGGGTTTTCCACAGATGAATTCGTTTCCTATGGATTCCCTACATCCCCTATAGAAGCGATGAAGAAATGATCGAGGAAGGAGGAGGATGATCCCTAGCAGCCGCGATGATTCAAGCTTCCTTCATTTCATTGTATCTCGGAGTTATCGAGGGTCTGATCATTATGATGGATAAAAAATTACCAGAACTGGGTTTGAAGAGGGAGAGATGCATGTGAATGAATTGGGCGAATTTGATCCTCTACTTCGTCAGGTTCTCACTCGAAGCCCCACCGGAGAGCTTGATGGACAGACGATTTCCTCCTTTGAGACTACAAGGGGAGTATATGATCCCGACGATGACTACTACAAAAAGCCTTCCCTCTATGTAGTCATGACGGAGGAACAGAGGCGGACGAGTAAGGCTGTTAAGGAGAGGTGAAGCGATGAAGGAGACTAGGGAGTTACAGTGCAGGAATTGAATTGGAAATCGAGGCACTAAAAATTATTAGGGAGAGATGGATCGGCATTGACAGCGATGGAAGGAGAATTGGGAGCGGAGAATACGAGAATGACGGCAGAGGAAGATGATATGAAGAGAGAGATATTTACTGATTTTCAATGTAGGTGGATTACTGCTTTTTATCTTAAGGGGTCGTTTGGAAGTTGTGAATGTTAAATCGTTGCATTGTAATGAATCATCATAATATAAATGCATGTATTGATACAATAGATGCATTTTAACAATACATTGTTTGGTTGTTGAGATTCTACTTTATGCATTGATTTACATAAAGTTACTTTTATGGGGAAATGTCATATTTACACTCAACTTTTAGTATAAGGCAAAAACTATCAGGGATATAAATTGAAAAAAAAAGTTAACACAAATCTAAAAAGCAACAATCACAACAATCTCAACTTTTAGTTGAGATTGTATAATACATCATTTTTTGTGATTGTTGGTGGGAGTTACCTAAAACAATGCATGTATTGTTTTACACTTTGACACTTCCAAACATTGTATTGCGCACAATACATGTATTCAACAAACACAACTCTAACAATCACAACTTCCAAACTTGGCTTGTTTCTCCGATGCTCATTGGATTGTTAATTAGTTGTTCCCCAAAAGTACAATACTACAATTGAATTGATACTGTTGTCTAATTTGTAGTTCAAATTATATTTTTATTCGAATATTCACAAAGCAGTAGACTTTAATTTGTATGATTAAGTTGTAGAATATTGCTCATATTTCATCTAAAAATTCGAACTTATAATTATTTATTAATATAATATTGACGCTCTATTCACGCTCTCAGTATTGAATTTTTTGAAAATTGACACTCTGACGCTCCCGCTCTCGCACCCGCTCCACGCTTTGGTTACCTAAGTTCAAACACCAACTTCTCTTCTTCTTTCTTGATCGTGGAATCAATTCAGCAAAGAGGAAACCGACGTTTACTGCTAGCTCATCATCCTAGTCGAATAGTCCTTCGTATACCTAGCCATCTTCCCGACTCGTTGATTTGGTTTGGGTTTTTATCCGCTTTGTGATCGTTGTGTTTTAATCGATCTTTGTTGCGTTTCTGATTGTTTAAGTCCAGAAGTTAGAGCCTCGGCTTATATCAGGGGGATGGTACTTGAGGGCTTCTTCTTCACCGCTATGAGGCGGCGATGGGACTCGATTGCAGAGGAAACGACATTGCCTGGTGGTGAGGACTGACGTCTCCGGCTCTTCTCCCTCTTCGAAGACAAGTATCGCCTGAGATAACAGAGACAGAGCAGCAACAACGACATCGAAATTTGTCGTCTTGACCATCGATGGCGGGGGCGTGAGTAAGGAGTGACATGAGGTTTGGCGGCGGCGGAGGCGAAGAGAGGGTTCCTCCTCGAAGTCTCCTGTCCGCCGACGACATCTCCCTCTTTCTCCATGCATCGGTGGGAGAGTAGATAGACTATGATGGCGGAGCAGCGATGGCCTGGAGTGGCGGGAACAATCGCCGGAGTCGGGCTAGTGACTGGATCTGAAAGATCCCCTATTTCGATGGCAACAGTAGGAAGTCCGGTTAGAGGGTGTAGACAGAAACCAAAGTAGTCGGATCTAGTTTCGGGTGTCTCCGATCCGGCTATCCAAATATTATCCTGACAATTTGGGAATGAATTTATTAAAAGCCCCCTTCAGTTTCTTTCTTATAGAATAGGTTCTCCCCGATTCAGAAGGCGGGTGAAAGAAGCAGAGATGAGAATTAGGTCGGATTATTTTTCCTTAATTTTTTATTTTGTTAAAATAATAATTATATAAAGGTGGCTACTTCGGTGCACTCACTTTTTTTGGTGCACTCAGTGCACCCAACTCTAAAAGCGTCCATAATACATCAAATATTGAACTTTAATTAGTACTCTCAATATAATATGATGATATGACATAGAATCATAACAAATCAATCCATTGCCCTAACCCCTTAACCTTCAATTTTGAATCCCAACCCAAAATCCCAAATTGTAAACCTAACCCTAACCCTAAATCCCTAAATCCTTCAAATTAAAGTAAATTTTGAATGAATTTTTTTAAAATTCATGTGCTTCTTGTTCATAATATCATAAGCAACAATTGATACCATTTTGACATGAATCGCATGGTCAGAATGACAATTATGAGGCGGTTGCACTAAATGCACCCAAAAAAGTGAGTGCACCGAATACGCCACCTTATATAAAATAATAAATATCGATATGGCATCGTCAAATGGTTGACTCTTTGCCACGTCATCAATTGACATCCAACTCAGCAATAGAACTGCCACGTCATAGTCAACTAACAATTGAATGGACGGAAAATTGACGATTTGGCTATTAAATTATTTTTGAAAAGGATTTGTTATTATTTTGTTTAAAACGAATGATTTGACTATTATATTGTATTTACCCTAAAAACTAAACACAACTATGGGCCATCATAGTTAACATAGGCCGACCGGGCAGGCCCAATGTATGAAATTTTGCGCCTCTATTCCATTCCTTTTCCTTAAGGGGATTGCTAATTATCGCCCTAAGTTTTACTATAATCGCCCTAACTTAAAAATTAAAATTACCTATTTATCCTTTATTTTTTTATTATTGAAATAGATTTTAATTTAACAAACACAATCTACTCAACAATAAAATAATATGAAGAATAATTCACAGCTACCCTCCGCCATTACCTGCCGCCGGCACCGTTACCCACCTTCGGCCACCATGAAAAAAGGAAACCAGTGTATAATTTTTCTCAAATTCTGTTAATTATTCATCCCAATTATAAACATTAATAGTACTTATGATCTAACTCCCGCTTAATTGCACGAAGATCCTCCTTCACCCCCCTGTTGTATCATCACAATACCGGAGAAGAAGGGTTTTGCCGATCACATAAAATGATGGTTTGGGGGAGAAGTGTAGGCACCGGTCAACCGGAAAGAAGCTGACGGGGAGGAGGGTCAACATAGGTCAACAGTCATCTGAACTCATGCATATACTAGAGGAAGTCGACGGCGGCCGGATTGGGTAGACATAGGTCAACAGTCATCTGAACTCATACATAAACAACCAATGTAAGTAAATATTGAAATTAACAACTGATAAAACTTAAAAGCTCTTTATTGGTGTAAATGTACCTCTTAGTAACTACAATGCAATCAAGTATAGATGATTTTAAGGTGTTGAATAAGAAAAGTATAGATGACTCATATATAAAGACCCAACAGCTGAAGGTAGCACACAAAAAGCAAAAATAGAAAAAGATAAGCAAAAAGGCGAGAAACAGCCAGACAATGGAAAAGCTTGGATAGGAATACCTTGCTAGCTCTTGGGACTCTCTGTCACAATAAACAAACCTCTAGAAAATCCAAAACCTTGAGACATAAAACAAACCTCCCATAACACTAATGTATGGCATGCCCATTTTCCAACAGGTTTGTCCAATTTAAACTTCAAAATGAAATTCAAGAATTGAATTACTTCTAAATAAATGAACTTTTTACCATTAAACCAAAATTCATAATCATTAACAGTTAATGCAAAGAATACATTTCTTGGGCCAATTACAACATTTAACTAAACGATATAGTAGAATGGATTCAATCTGTTTCCTACTAATGATATAAACGTATACTGGTACCATCGTTGTACCATGAACTGCAATTTGAGATGAGTTACTTTGTAATACAACTGCATTTTATAAACACTCATAAGGGCATTACGAAACCAAGTTGAATAAAAATATCTTCATACTCCACTTCGAAGGTTCCATTTCAAAAATAGGAGAGTTTAACATGTCAAATCACTCATTTGACAAAATCTCAAACCACTATCAATCAATGTAATATAAAGGCAAGTAGCCCAAATTTTGTACTTTATGGAATAATCCCAAATCATTATTAATTAATGTCCCAACTACATGATGTGCAGAATAGCTCTGGAGCTGTACTGTTTGCGTTGGTCTACCTTTAAACGTAGCCGCATCACGAACCACACCAATTAAGCAAAAATCTTCATATTCCAAGTAGAACGACGCAATTCAATTTGGCCAACGCTTTATACATATCGGTTACCCCTCGATCGACCTGTTGCACTTGCTACCTTCGGATCTTCGTGAACACAATACAATTGAGGAGATGAGGCTGTCATTGGAGTGGAGTGTGTTAATTAAGTGCATCATCATATGACTGAATAAACGGGGTCTTCTTGATTTGCTATCAAAACGGTAGGGGTAGCTTCAATCCTTCAGTTGCTCCCATCTACGCATTCTACTTAGAATATGTGGCATAGGTTCTAGAGATTAGGATTCAGTGATAACTTTGGAACAGGAGGAGAGTAGGTTCGTCGGGGAGGAGACCCGGCGAGTAGAAAGGGAAGCTTTGGCGAGGCTGCGATGGGTGCATGATTAGTGGGCCAAATAACTGTTTGGGTTATTTAAATCAAAAAAAATATTTTTACTTTCGTGCTCAACAGACCGGCCGCAATGACGCCTTCTAAATTTACCCCTCCAAAATTGCTTTGGGTGCATCAAATTAAATTTGAAATGGGATCCCTCATTTCTCATTTGACCTTTATATTATGTGTAGATTGTGAGAGTGATGAGTGTACATGTAGATATAGGTGTCAATCAGGCGGGTTCGGGCGGGTTCGGGTTGGGTTCAGTCGGGTTGCGGGTTAGTCGGGTTGCGGGTTCATCGGGTTACGGGTTTATCGGGTTCGGGTTTGAACGGGTTGCAGGTTAGTCGGGTTCGGGTTCATCGGGTTCGGGTTCAATCGGGTTGCGGGCAAATTGGGTTGCGGGTTGCATCGGGTTTTGTGTCGAGCGGGTTATGGGCGGTTCGGGTTGCGGGTTGTTCGGGTCAGCGCATCGAGTAACGCACTCCTTACACATTACCAACTTACAGATTTTATTACACTAAT